TATCATGGGATTATTTCTCAGAGATTATTATCTGAGGAGTTTATATTTATTATTTAGTTTTCCCTTCAGCGTGTATTTATTTATTTTTATTTATCCTCTTGTATTCTGTATTCGTTTATTACTAATTGTTTTGATATCTCCCGGCCTTCAGGTGTAGACTGATCAACTCGTGTTCAGAAATTGGGGGGTATCACAAGGTACCAAATTTCATTCCTCATTGGTTAAAAAGACTCCCTCCGATATGTCAAAGATAAGTGCCAGGCCCAGAATTACATAAGGCTTGAAGAGAACGAAGTGGCGAGGCAGCAAAGGGCAACGTTGATCACAGTTGAGAACCGAACAAGGGAACGGGTGAACACCCCAAGGACTCAACAAAAGCCACCAAATATCAAAGGCAGAGCCCCTGAGAAGAGGTCACGAACAACAAAAAGGATCATTCCACTCAAAACCACATTGGCTAGACTGTACCAAGAGAATAATGGCAGAAAAATCTTCCAAGTCCCTCCTCCAATCAAACAATCAATGGATCAAAGGGACCAGAGTAAGCACTATGCTTTCCATAGTGATTTCGGTCACCTAACCAACGATTGTAAGGGCTTGAGGAGGCAGGTAGAAGCATTGATAGCCAAATGTGAGCTAACAGAATACCTACTTAAGCCAACCAACCAAAAACCGCCCGAGCGAGCTAGGCCTGTCCAGAAGGCACCATCGGACCATCAACCCGTTCGGGTCATCAATATGATCCATGGTCGCCCAGAAGGGGATGAAGAACCAGAGAACTCTTACAGAGCACAACTCGAACAGGCCCATAAGTTATAAAGGATCGGAGAAGTCAATTCAGTCGAAAATAGGGTAGGCTACACCCAAATTACCTTCCATGATTGAGACCTCAAAAAGTGCAGTAGCCACACGAGGATCCTCTGGTGATCAGCCTGCTAGCAGCAAATTGCCTGGTTAGAAGGGTCATGGTCGGCCCCAGCAACAGCGCGAATATAATAACCAAGTGGACCGTTGAACAATTGAAATGGCTGATGATCAGATCCGGCCCACTGGAACCCTGGTTGGGTTCGATAGAAGGCGAGTGGAACTAGTGGGCGTGGTCACACTCTCGGTCACAGCAGCCAAGAGGACCCTGAAGGAGAATTTCATGATAGTGGACATCCATCCAACTTACAACCTGCTTATGGGGCGCGGGTGGATCCATCGAATGAACGGAGTCCCTTCAACCTTACATCATGTCATGAGGTGCATAGGCCCTAACAGCAGAGAGATAGTAAACATCTGGGGGGATCAGGTACCTGCAAAGAAGTGCTACCACACAACAATCAAATCAGAGGATAAAGGGAAACAACTATCAAAATAGCAATCACAGTGCCCCTCGGGTTCCGAGACAGAAGAGGAACCAAAGGAAAAAAATTTTAACCAATGAACCCCTAGAGGAAGTTCAAATAGTCGGAGACAAACAACAAAAGATAGCCTACATTGGATCACTCCAATCACCAGAAGAGAAGAAAGAAATAACAGAAGTCCTCAGACAGAACGCAGACGTATTTGCTTGGAGTCATCTAGATATGCCCGGCATCGATCCAAAGATAGCATGCCACAGCCTCAACATTGACCCAAGCTACTGCCCACTAAAACAGAAGTAGAGAAGATTCGCTCCAAAAAGGAATAGGATCATTTCAGAGGAGGTTGATCGGCTTCTCGAAGCAAGGTTCATACGAGAGGTGCAGTACCCCCAATGGCTGTCCAACGTGGTTGTTGTCTAAAAAGAACGGCAAGTGGAGAGTCTACATCGACTTCACCAACCTTAATTAAGCTTGCCCAAAGGACAATTTTCCACTCCCAAAAATTGACCAAATGGTGGACGCCACAACCGGGTATGAAAGGCTAACTTTTCTTAATGCTTACTCAGGTTACAATCAAATCTCGATGAACCTAACTGACGAAGAGAAGACATCCTCCATCACCGAATGAGAAGCTATTGCTACAAGGTCATGCCGTTCAAACTCAAGAATGCAGGAGTGACTAGTAAACAAGGTATTTAAAAAGCAAATCGAACAAACAGTTGAAGCCTATATAGACGATATGGTAGTCGAGAGCCGGAAACTAGAGGAACATGTTCATCACTTACAAGACGTGTTCAACACTCTAAGGAGAAACAACATGAGGCTAAACCTGCCAAAATGCTTGTTCGGGCTATCCTCCGGTCAGTTCCTAGGCCACCTAGTCAATAAAAAAGGATTAAAGGTCAACTTAGCCCAAATAGAGAAGTTGGTCCATAGTAAACAACCCCATACCATGAAAGAAGTCCAAGTTTTGACTGGGCGGACAACATCTCTTAGTCGCTTTATCTCTAGACTCTCAGACAAATGCAAGCCATTTTTCAACACTATTAAGGCAAAAAAAGTTGAGATCTGGGGAAAAAAGCAACAAGAAGTCCTTACCAAGCTAAAAGAGTACATGGTTAATCCACCCATTCTGCCTGCCCCAACTCCCGAGGAGCCGTTGTACCTTTACTTAGCCGTATCTCGAACGGCAACCAGCGCTGCCCTTATAAAGGAAGTAGAAGGGAAGCAACACCCAGTGTTCTATTCTAGCAAGACAATGACAGACCCTAAGAGCAGGTACTCAACGGCCGAAAAGGTATCCTCGCATTAGTCCAAGCAAAGAGAAAACTCAGGTATTATTTCGAGGCACACCGTATAATAGTACCAACAACTCATCCAATCAACGCAATCATCAACAAACCAGACTTCTCAGGATGAATAACCAAGTGGACCATCGAGCTGAGTTCCTTTGACATACGGTACGAGCCTCGAACAGCAAAAAAGGGGCAAGTAGTTGCATATTTTCTATTAAAATCCAATCCAGAAGACGAAGAGATGATCCCCTCTGGGAATTATACATGGAAGGCTACACTAACCAGAAGAGAGCTAGAGCAGGATTGGAAATCAGGACCCCCGAAGGTGTTTTGGATATATTTTACTATTTGAGGGTAGTATTGTCTTTTCCCTCAGCTTATTAGTTTAGGTCTTATTATATTGTATTTCTCTGTAAGTTTTGTAACATCATTCAATTAGTAATATGTACAACTGAATTTCTCTATGCTCTTCTCTTCTTTTCTTCTTTACGGTACAAAAACTATCATGGTATCAAAGCAGCGAAGATCTGGATTGCAATTGAACCCTTAGAATTTGCAGTCACAAACTTGGTTCATTTGTTTCAACTTCATCGCATCATCTTGCAATCACAGTTCAAACTTGACATCTCGGAAACCCTAATCGCAGAAATTGCAATCACAGACCTGAATCTCAGTTCGCAACCTCATTCAAATTTGATATCTCGGAAACCCTAATAGCAGAAATCACAATCGCAGCCCTAGAATCTCTGTTCGCAGCACGGTTTGCAAATTTTATTACAGCCGACATCGCAATTGCAGCTCTCCAACCTGTTTGCAAATTCTGTTTGCAGCAAAATTGAACTCAGTCCAGTTTTGCAGAGAAGTCAGTTTGCATCATCTATCGCAACTCATCCAATCGCAGCATCTGTTCTTCACTTCTTTGCATCATTGGTTTGCCTCAATTGCAATCTCATCCCCGTTGCATTGCTCGCAGAAATCAAAACCTGAATCTGCAATCGCAACTTTCGCATAGTTTTTTGTTCAATTGTTCACAGCACCTTGCAACTATTGAAGTCCATCACATAGTTCTCTGTTCTTTCGTAATAGCAGCAACTTGTTTGCATCGCATAGCAACCTAGTTTGCTCTCAGCACCAAAGCTGTTATTACTTCTGGCATTTCTCCTTTTGAACGATTGTGTGATGAGCCTCCAAATTATTTTTCCTTGAAAGTTTTTGGTTGCACTTGTTTTGTTCTTCTCTCTAAAGCAGCTCGTACTATATTGTATGCACATTCTACTATGTGTGTGTTCCTTGGTTATGGTGAAGGCCAAAAGGGATATCGTTGTTATGATCCTCTTGCTCAAAAGTTATGTGTCTCGTCATGTAGTGTTTCTTGAGCACATTCCTTTCTTTTCTATTCCTTCTAGTCCTACTACTTTAAGCAAGTCCAATCTTCTCCATATTAATCCATTTTTTGATGACATGTCTCGCACGCCTTCTATTGGTGACATACCTCTTCCTGATGTTTCAACTTCTTCTGCGCCTGTATCTTCGTCTGTCGATTGTCCTACTATTATTCATACTTACACTCACATAAATACAGGAATTTTTTCTCCAGGTACATCTTCTCCGTCTCTCTCGGTGGACTCTCCATTGGTTACTAATGATGCGGATCCTACTCCACGCTATCCTAAGCGTGTTCGTAAGTGTCCTGATCATTTTGGTTTTGCTAATTCCTGTTATTCTTCTACTTTCTGCTCTTTCTTGGCATCTATTCATTCACTTTCTAAGCCCACCTCCTATAAGGAGGCTATTCTTGATCCTCTTTGGCAACAAGCAATGGAGGAAGAGCTTTCTACTTTGCATAAGACCCGCACATGGGACTTGGTGTCTTTACCCCGTAGTAAACATGCAGTTGGATGCAGGTGGGTCTATAAAATCACGACCAAGTTTGATGGATCTGTAGAATGATATAAAGCCCGTTTGGTTGCAAGGGGGTATACCCAAGAGTATGGTATTGATTATGAGGAGAGTTTTGCTCCTGTAGCCAAAATGACGACTGTTCGCACATTGATTGCTATTGCATCTGTTCAGCAAATGGAGTTTGTCACAGTTGGATGTTAAAAATGCATTTTTTAATGGAGACTTGACTGAAGAAGTTTATATGACTCCTCCTCCTGGTCTCTCTCATCGTCCTGGGCAGGTGTGCAAACTCAGAAAGGCATTATATGGTCTCAAACAAGCTCCTAGGGCTTGATCTAAGAAGTTCTCTACAGTAATCTATGCTTTGGGTTTTCATCCAAGTGATCATGATTCTGCTCCTTTTATTCATTCTACCTTTGCTGGTCGTATTATACTTCTTTGATACGTTGATGATATGATAATAACGAGTGATGACACTATTGGCATTGATGTTTTAAAATCCCAATTGCAACAACAATTTGAGATGAAGGATCTTGGACCTCTTCGCTATTTTCTTGGTATTGAAGTAGCTCATTATCCCAAAGGTTATCTTCTATCTCAGTCTAAGTATGCAGCAGACGTCATTGACAGAGCTCGTCTCACTGATACTCGGACACTTGAGACTCCTCTAGAACTGAATGTTCATTATAGTTCTACTGATGGTGTTCCTTTAGCAGATTCCACTTTATATCGAGCGATAGTTGGCAGTTTAGTGTATCTCACAATCACTCGACCTGATATTGCCCATGTTGTTCGAATTATAAGTAAGTTTGTATCCTCTCCTATTACTGTGCATTGGGCTGCAGTTTTTTGTATCTTGCGCTATCTTCGGGGTACTTTGCACCAGAGTTTATTATTTTCTTCTACATCAACTTTGGAGCTTAGAGCTTTTTCTGATGCTGATTGGGCTGGGGATCCCACAGATCGCAAGTCTACCACTGGTTTCTGTATTTTTCTAGGTGATTTTCTCATTTCCTGGAAATGTAAGAAGCAAACAGTTGTTTCTCACTCTTCTGCTGAAGCTGAGTGTCGTGGCATGGCTGATAATACAACGGAGGTAGTTTGGTTACGATGGTTGCTTGCTGATTCGGGTGTTTCTTTGTATGCTGCAACGCCTATGTACTGTGATAACAAGAGCGCCATTCAGATTGCATACACCGGCCTCCAGAAGATCTTCACACTATGAGAAGTCCCTAGCCCTTTGCTCAATGGGGGATGGACGTGGCAGGCCCTTTGCCTCCAGATGCGTCCTAGAAAAAGTATGTCTTGCTTGAAACCGACTACTTCACCAAATGGGCGGAAGCAGAAGCATATGCAAGCATAACCAATGTGCAGGTTCAAAAGTTCATCTGGAACAACCTGATATGCAGATTCGGGGTCCCTCGGTCAATCATCATGGACAATGGGAAGAACCTGGACAATCAGCACACGGTTCTTCAACAAATACGGGATCAACCAAAAATTATCAACAGTAAGTCACCCCCAGGGAAAGGACATGCAAAGATAACCAACAGAATGATCTTTGCCTGTATCCAAAAAAAGGCTTTAAAAGAAGGGAAAATGGTTGAATGAACTACCCAACGTCCTTTGGGCCTATCGAACCACTCCCAAGCGCCCAACAAGAGAAAGCCCCTTCACGCTGGCTTATGGAACTGAGGCTGTAATACCCATCGAAATGATAGCCCCAACCGATCGAAGTTTGGTTGGAAATCAGAAGCAAACAACCAACAGTTGGAACGCAATTTAGACGTCCTAAAGGAGAAGAGAGAAGCAATATCGATCAGGCTAGCCGCTAATCAACAAAAATTGATGAACAACTACAACAGAAAGGTTAGACATAGAAGTTTCAACCCAGGTGACCTCGTCCTGATGGAAACAGAGGGACGCGTGGGAAAGCTAGAGCCAAACTGGGAAGGACCATTCTGAGTTACGGATGTGTTTGGGAAAGGGGCCTACAGGCTCCAACATTTAAGTAGAACTGAAGTGGACAAGCCCGGGAATGCAATTCACCTCAAGAAGTATTATCAATGAAATATTGCCATCTATGTTTTTGCTACTTTAGCAGTGACAGTTGTTCCTCTAAATAAAGAAAGTTACTTTTTGACTCAAAATGTGTCCCACATCGAATAAAAATTGGCTTGTAATGCTATTAATTAGACACAACCCATTAACTACAAAGCGCTAAGGAGCGCCCACTTATAATAAGGCCGTTAGTCAATGGGCCATTATAAGTGGACCCTCCTTACAATTTTTTGGCCCAACAAATAAACAAGGCCCAATAAAAAATATATATAAAAATAAATATAATGAAGAAAAAAAGGGAATCTAAAAGTAAACAGATGACCCGCTGAGAAGAGCATCTCATCATCTCCTAAACCCTCACCAATACTAAAATTCAGGTGATGGGGGTACTCCTCAAGGTAACATCCTCAGGGATCCTATTCTTTTTCCACGGTTGGAGGACACAGATGGATTTCCTCTCTACAATGTCAACGGGAAGAACTATAGGGCCCTCGGCAGAGCGCTGATTACTAACCCCGACCTCTGGCATTTCCAAATCAGACTCAGACATCCTAGCACTAAGAGTACGGCTACTGCTTTCTCGGCTCATGAAGAATGGAACGGAGAAAGAAAAATAGCAAAATAGAAAAACGAAGAAGAAAAGGACTGACCTTCATGATGTGGAGATCGCTGCAGGATGAGATTTTCAAGCCAAAAACTATTCTCTTCAAAAGCACAGTACTCCGTTGCAATGATATGATGAATTTATAGAGGCAGTATACATGTGAAGAGGAGGCGGTTGCACGACGCCCAAGATACGGAACTCCAAAAAAGGCAATGATGGGCATTAACATCTACACAAACCACTCCACTTACAAAGACAGTTAGAATTCCTTACATTAATCAGTTTCATAAAAGGAATTGGAGGCAAAGTGTGGAGGGAAATTTCCCCACCAACTGCATAGCCCCACATGTGTATCCCTGATTAAAGAGGCCAGCCCAAAGACTCAAGTTGGAAAGTAAAAGCCCAACTTCTAAATCAGCCCAAAGGTCAAACGGAAACTCCATACACCAAAAAGGCCCAGAAGTAATTGTATAGCCCATATGGCCCAATACGAAACCTTGACCAACATGAAGAAGAAGAACGCACGAACAAAGAAAAAGGCAAGAGATCTGGAAACTGTATGTCAATTCAAAAAGGAAAGCCCTAAAGAGGCTCCTGATTGTTACAATATACAAATATAAATAAGGGCAAAAGACCCAAATGAAAGATAAGTCGTTATCGGCCATTTTACACTGCTTCTTTCTTTGAATTTTTTTAATTAACAAGCAACTTTTCATTGTACTTGATTGAGTATTCGAGCATTGGAAATTTGGAATTTTAGATTGAACTTCAGTGTTCAGTCCAAGATTTTAAGCACCTACACTCTCCCAGCCAGTATCTTCATTAGCTTCCTTGTTGCATGAATGCTTTAAAAGTTCGTGAAGTACCCTATCTCACACATGCTATGTTTTACAAAAAAATCATTTTGCATGCGCTAGGCTATGGACCATTTGGTAATTGAGAATGATAAAAGATAAATTGAAAATTTTGCCCATGTTCTTGTGCTTAAAACTTGATATATATATATATATATATATAAAGAATCTAACTAGGAGATCCACCTAGCTATGGGATGCTTACCTTTGCTTCGAAAAATATTACTTTATGAGTGCATGTATGTGTGAGAACTGAATTTGAAAAATCATGAACACCATAACATTTCAAGAAACAAAATAGTCACTATGCCATGAATATGTGAATATGTCAGCATCCTTTCAAAAGATGTCTGTCATTTCACTCTAAGATAAGCACATTAAATTTCTGTAATCAATCAGATCTTAAATTCTGAATCACTAACCACTTACTGCTTTAAAAGCCTATCACCAAATGCACATGGAACAGCAAGGACACCTCCAACTTCCAAGTTCCTGTTGACAAAAATTCATCACTGCAATTGAAATCAATTTAATGTCACTGAAATGCTTTAGAAAAACAACGGATGAAGCTATGTAGCCATGTGATGTCCTTACCTGCCCACATAACAAACCCTCCAGCATCTTCAATCTGTTGTTGCTCGTCGCTTTGGACGGGGTTGTGATGTTGAGAAAAAACAATGGCGGTAGGAAATAACACGACGCCTGTATCAGATAGAGAATTATAGATACCAGGGAGTAATTTAAATAGCAAGCAAAACGTCCTTGACAAAATTAGCCACCAACTTTTATATTACATATAAGTAGCTTAAAAGCATAAAAGCCACTCCGTATCTGCTAATGAACATTGGTAATAAACCATTGCACAGGTCTACACCAAGCTTAAAATGAAGTCAGAGATCTAATAACACACTTTTGCAATTTAAAATGCCAAAACAATGTGTAAAAGCAACGCATAATAGTGATACCCTTTAATTGCCCCTTAGGCGCCGTGGTGAATAGGGTCCTTCTTTTCCTTTCATGGTCCAGTCCCCTCCCAACAGCCTGCTGCAGACAATGCTAAGTCATCTTGTTCATACTTCATAATTAGCTTCTAGATAAGATGCTCCTGTAAGGGGTAATTTGTGTTAGGAAAACCAAGAACCGGGCTGGCTGTATACCTGCGTAAAGGTCTATCTCCCTCCCTTCCTGGGCTAAAACATTCACAAAAAAGGAACAGTCAGAGCAAATTATTTTTTACAATAAAACTCAATAAAAATAGTTACCACAAAAAATGAGTGATTGTGAAACATAATGATAATGAAAAATTCATTAGGTGACAATGAAGATGAGGGAGATGATCATAACGATGATATTTACATGTTTAACAGGGATTGGACACCAACAAGGTAAAGTCTGATAGTTTCACATTGTATGCTTAAGCACCCGGACATATGAATATATAAGAACAACAGTTCATATAATAATTCTGAACAAAGAAAATATTTTAAAGAATTAGGAACCTACAATCTATTCAATTTGCATTCTCCATTTCAACATACTTAGCTTCCACATCCTCAAGCTGGAAATTAATATTTAACCTATCACTGGATTCACTGGCCTGCATAGATATAAACATCAACCTTTATTAGTAAGGCCATTATCTATTGATGGTCCCCGTAAATCAAGGGTGTTGGGAGGGGCAGGCTGGATATGGACCTAACCTGGGGCATTATTTGCACAAAGTGATTATTCTTGGACAAACGCACATTCTCATTGTGTAATCCAGTTTACCACTGCACCAGAAGTAGCACCTATCAACCATTATTAACATGAAAAAGAAGATGAAGGTAAAGCTTATTTAAAACTACAAAAACACACACACTGGAAAAATAACTTCTTTTACTAAAATCAAAGTAATTTTGAACACTACAAAAGAGCACAAGAAGAAAAGAAAAGAAAAAAAAATCAGCACATCATTTTCCATCATTTTTTCAAATTTCAAGTTTCAATGAAAATTTTGAATCCCATGATAGACAAGGATTTTTCCATTTATTTGCCATTTCGTTGGTGGAAAAATTTAGGGAAAGAATCAAAATTATGCATACCAAAAATTCTCATCGTTAAAGACCTGAGAAAAAAATAAAATAAAAAATAAATAAATAAAATAACTGTTAAACCGAGCTCAGTACCTCTAATCCCTCCTTGAAAGCCAAAGACACTGCAAGGAGAGTTGGTCGACTCAGAAACTTCTGGATTTTAGGTTGCAGGCTTACTGAAAGTTCAGTCAAGAAGCTTCTGATGGCATAATGCATTCTCTGCCATTTTCTCAAACATGCTTACTAGTATTCTCATTTGTGTCAATAATGAGGGAATTTTCATCATATCATTTTGCAATTTGCCACAAATCCAACCATTCAGGTTTAATAGAATGATGATTCTTGATGTTCCATGTCACCAATAATCTCCACATGAACACTTCCCATCCTTGAAATGATGAAATCGGCTATTATCCCTCACAATTATTTCTCTCCCAACAATCTTTGATATAAACTTTGTTGCTGTGTGGCAGTCCACACATATGCGAAGATTCTTTGTCACACGAATTGTCATTCCTGCAGGAGTGCTAATGATACCAAATGCTATGGCGAGTCTCTCGCTGTGGCTAAACAATAAATATCTCTTTTGCTCCTCCTCAACATCATGGAGAACCTCATTTGTGTTAGGAACATATCCTTCTCGTTCCATCCGCCCCAAAAGAATTTGTAGTGCCTCATTTATTCTGTCATAGTATGGGTGGGATTTATCTCCTGCCACAAAAGCATGTACCTTGTTCTTAACTTCAATCCAGCTGCAAGCCGGTTTCTTTCTCATGCCCTTATCTCTCATATTAATTCTCAACTTTGCCACATCTTTCCACCTCCCAGCAGCTGAATATGTGTTTGACAAGAGGATAAAAGCTCCCGTATCCTCAGGATCAACCGTAAATATGTTCTTGGCAACCTTTTCAGCTAATTCAACATTCTTGTGGACCCTACAAGCGGCCAACAATGTTGACCACACACTCCCTGTCTGTCCAATATGCATGCTAGATATGAGCTCATAGGCTTCCTCCAATTTTCCTGCTCGACCAAGAAGGTCAGCCATAGCAGCATAGTGCTCCAAGCCCGGAGTAATCCCATAATGTTGGATCATGCTGTTAAAATATTTCCAAGCTTCGTCAATCAATCCGGCATGGCTACAAGCAGTCAAAACAGCCACAAACGCCACATTGTTGGGCTTCAGTCCCTTAATCTCCATCTGCTCAAATAAGGACACGGCCTCATGGGCATGCCCATGCAAAGCATGCCCCATGATCATAGCTGTCCATGACACCATGTCATGTTGCTCCATCTTATTGAAAATACATCTGGCAATCCTAATGTTCCCACATTTGGCATACATGTCCACTAGCGAGCTGGCTATAAACATATTATCATCAAATCCGCCCCTAATTATGTACCCATGAAGCTGCTTCCCTAAATGTAGTGTCGTCAAGTGAGCACAAGCTGGAATTATACTTGAAAAGGAAACATGCCTAGGTTTAAGTTTAGCCATCAGCATCTGCCGAAACAATTTCAGGCCTTCATCGAACAGGCCATTCTGCACACAACCTGCAATAATAGAATTCCATGAAACGCTATCATGTTGAGGTAACAGACAAAAAATGCGATGTGAATTTTCCACCCAAGTACAGTTGGCATACATGTCTATCAAACTACTCCCAATAAATACATCTGCATCAAACCCATGCCTAATAGCATACCCATGAATTTCCTTTCCCTTCAAAACATCCACATACTCTGCAAAGATAGGGAGGACACTGGATAAAGTGAAGGAATCAGGCTTCAAATTGGCATTTCCCATCTCCCTAACCATCATGAGAGCATCCTCATACAACCCATTTTGCGCATTTCCAGCAATCACAGTGTTCCAGGAAACAATATCTCTTTTTGGCATCATTTCAAACACTTTTCTCACGCTATCCATTTTAAAAGCCCCTTTGTCTCCCTTTCCCATTGACATATCGACATTTGTCCAGCGTGAATGATCAAAAACCTTCCTTTCTGTACCATTTTGAGGCAATACATTACTCATGTGCTTTAAACTATCTGTCGGAGGATCAATACCCGCACCTCCTTTTCTAATTTCTTTGTTCAATTCATTTAAAATACTACTACTACTACAAGGAATCTCACCATCAACCGGCTTGCGCATGTTATTGCCAATGAATTTATCAGAATCAACAAGGACGGTTGAATACTTGGGGTTTGTACTTAGGTTGGAACTTTCACCGAACATTTCAGCAGCATTAAATGTGCACCCATGCTTGCTAGGAAGAGTTTGCAACTTTGAGTACATATTCATAAGCGCATTACAAGTGTAAATATCGAAATCCATTCCGAGATGAATAATGCAGGCATGAACAGATTCACCAAGCTTCAACTTCATCAAAAGGGTACATGCTTTTAGGACAGAAGGGAACACATTGTGATCAGGGCACATGCCCGAAGTTCGCATATGGACAAAACAAGACAACGACTCAAGGTAAAACCCATTACAAGTGTAACACCTGATGATTGATTTCCAAGCAATAGTAGAAGGTGAGTGGAGGGTGTTGAACACTAGTAGCGACTCATGTAAGAGGTTCAGGTTAGAGTAAACAGAAAGAATTGTCGAGATGAGGGAAGAAGATGTTGTACCTTTGGTTTTGATGATTTGGGCATGGAGCTGTTTGGCTTGGGACCTTGATTTGATCCAAGCTGCTGGGTTTTGAAGAAGGGTTTTGAGGAGGGTTTGTGTGGAACTCATCGTTGGCTCCCAATATGGGTGTAAGTTTTGCTCTGTCAACAGATTGCTTTATCGTTCTAGATCTAAATTGGACCGGATCGGTTACACTTTCACCTCCTAATATCCTGATTGGTCAGTGGCAAATTTACAATGATTTAGGGTATGTTTGGAGACAGAACACTGTCAGCTATTTATAAAAGTATTGCCCACCTTTATAAAATAAGCATGTTTGTTTAGGCTATCAAATGTTAGATTTTAAATATTTTGTTAGTGTCAATTTTACTTTCAAATAATTTTGAATATTCATATCATAAATTACAACATAGAAAAAATTCATTTAAAAAAAAAAAAAAAACCCGACAAAAATAATGTCAATATATAAATACAATAATTCACTTGAGTCTATAAACAAAAATGGAATGATTTGGACGTGGATTATAACCTCCTTTTTCACAAATATTTTATTTTCATAATTCATTCAATTCATTTTAGGGAAAAAATTACACAACCCTATCATTTCAGTATAAAACAACTCCCATTAAAATTAAACACCTCGAATTAATAAAATCCATCATTTTATCCCAAACTGTCGACGTGTTAATTAAAGTGTAAAATGACAAATTTAACCTTATTATTTAATATTAAATTAAAACTTAAAAATTATTTTTAAAGTGACGATTTACCCTTAACAAGACCACGCCGTTTGTTATTCCTTCTCTCTTCGATTTTACACTGCTTATATATATATATATATACACACTCTAGAGGGGAGAGAGAGGCAGCGTGGCAAAGATGGTGATGTCGCCGGTGGTGTTCACCGGCGAGTCTCTCTCCGGCAAACGAAAAGGTTGATAGAAGAGAAGACTTAATGCTGGAAGTTAATGAAGATGGTGTGTGTGTTATCTAAAGCTGTAAAGTTGCTGCAGTTTCTACCTTTCTTCCTATTAGCCCCTCTCTCTCTACCTTTCTCTCTCTAAAACCAGACCCATCGCGCATTTTTTTGTTCTTGTTAAATTGCTGCAATTTCTGTCAAATGGTCACTTTCCACTCCAATTTGCTTTCCCATTTTGTATTAAATCCAACTTAACTCCCACCACCCACCACTCAACGGTCAACACCCAAACCTGACCCAACACCACCAACAATCTGTTTTCTTGCTTGAAATCACTAGTGTTTGAATTTGAAACTTTCCAAACCTTCTTGGGGTTTTCTCTTAGGCCATAACCAGTGTGACCAAAACCTTCACTACCCATGTTGATTTCTCTGCGAGCTTCACATTTTTTAGTTGAAATCATAGCTACATGACCCCTCATGTGACCTCCCAAGGACTTTCCACTGAAGAACCTCTTGTTACAAACTTTGCACACAAACTTCGATCCTTGATCTTTTTCCATCAAATCAATCGTCAACCAAACAACAGCAAAGCAAGAACAAGAAAACCCAGATAATAAAATACCTCAATTTTTCTGGAAAATGCTTCACATTAGAAAGAAAGTACAAGAAAATGCAAAAAAAAAAAACAGAGGAATTTGACGTACCCAGATCAGAAAACTCGAGGCTCGGAAGCTGAAATCTGATTATTCAAGTGATTAGCATGGTTTTGAAGTGATCAAGAGAAGAACCCATATTGGGTATGAAAGCATTCGTGCGCAAGAACAAGATCTGGTGCCTAATTAAAGTATATCAACCCATATTGCAGAGAGATGGTTTGGGAGGATAGGAGGTGAAGAAGAAAAAACCTACTTTAAAAGGGGTATTTTTGGAATTTTAAAATAAGAATTATCAATTAAAATTTAATATTACGTCACGAGGTCAATTTTGACATTTCACAATGTAATAATCAATTTTGGGTGTAACTTGATGGGTTTTGACCGTTGAGGGGGTTGTTTAATTTTAGTGATGGTGTTTTGAACGAAAATGATAATATAAGGGGGTTACGTGATTTTTCCCCTTCATATTATTTCATTTCATCTTATTGTCAATTTTTCCTTCACAATTTTACATTTGTGCTTAATTTACCTCTCAACACTTATATAAAAAGATTTTACAAGCAATAGTTAGACGACAACACGTTAAGTTTTGATCATCTCTTATACAAACAAATGTGAGAATATATCAATTATAGATTAAGAAGTTTGAATTTAAAATAGTCAAGTGGAAATTGAATTAGTACTGAATTAAATCAAGGTAAAATAATTATTTCATGAATATAATTATTTCTTACATATCATCTTTACACACATTTTATGTTTTGATTTTGTTATTTTTATGATCTAACATGTTTTGATTTTGTTATTTTTATGATCTAACATTAATATCTATTGTTAAATTGACATAATACTTTTGGGTGAAATTTATAATTTTATATATGTGTTTATATTATATTATATATATATATAATATATTTTATAACGATATTATGTGTAGAAGATAATTAAGGGCAAAAATATTATATGTACAACATTCATATTTCAGCTCTTAAATTTAATAAATAGCCTTAATGAATACTAGGGGTGGCAAAATAGGCCATGACCCATTAACCCGTCCATATCCATCCGCTTTAAAATAGACATAGGTAAATCAACCCATTTTTATAAAGGGTTAAACGATTTGAATATAGGTCACTCATTTTGACCCATATTTTACCCATTATATAAGAGACCCAATTTCACTTCCTCTATTTGACTTAAATTCACCTCTTCTTCCTCTCTAAAATTTTCTCACATGATCCCAAATTTTCTCCGTCTCTCCCACACTCTCTTTCTCTTTAAGATTCTCTCTGCATCATCCTTTTTCTCTCTCTAAAATTTCTATAGTATTGCTCTGCTACATCCACAACACATATACAATTGCTCTACTACATCCACAACATATACAATGTATTAGTGTGTATTCAATTAATTATTTATTCTATAAAAAGATTAACAAATGATTTTATAATATATATATATATATATTTGTTTTATATGGATAAAAACTTGTAAAAATATGTATGCATAATAGCAAATCCTCCAAATATATATATATATATTTGTTTTATATATTCTTTTAAAAAATTTCAAAAGAATTTGGAGGATTTGCTATTATGCATACATATTTTTACAAGTTTTTATCCATATAAAACAAATATATATATATATATATATATATATATATATATAATAATGAGAATATTCAAAATAACAAATTTTTTTTTTTCCTAAAACGGGTTGATGGGTCATGACGGGTTGACCCGATCTATTTTGACCCAACTCATATTCAATTCATTACAAGCGGGTTGAATATAGATCACAACACATATTTGACCCAGCCCAAACCCGACCCAAACCTCCCGTTTGCCACTCCTAATGAATACCAAACAGGTTTTCAAATTGATACATTCAGCACTTAAATTTTTAGCGCTTAAAATTCACTACTTACAATTTTAAGCGCTTAATTTTTAATTTTATCAAACATCACCTTAGACTTTGGATAAATTACACACAATTACCATTTAAGTTTTATTACTTTAATTTGAAGCGTGGTCAAAGACGTCCCTTCGAATATTCTATCGGTCATAATTTTTAATAAAAGGACCAAGAAGCCCTTACTTTATATGAAAAAACAATAATCACCTTAAATGTTGTAATAAAATGACCAAAAATTCACCAATAAATGGACTAAAATGCCCTTAGTATTTATAAATAAAAAATAAATCTTATCAATCATAACCCAATTGCTGATTTATTTGGATTTTTGTTATCATTTCCAATTACATTTATTTATTTGAGTTGATATTTACTTAAGGTTTTTTTTTTTTCAATGGGCAACCAATTATATATAATGTGTAAAAATAAATAAAAACAATAATTAAAAGGTAAATAAAAAAAAAAAAAAAAAAGCTATCCATTTGGAGCCCAGAAGAAGCCTAAGAAAAAGGTCCAACTGTGGAGAATATATACGTTGTGTCCGATGCACCAGGCACATTGTAACCGCTCGTGCTCGTCCGTGCACGCGCGTGCGTACAACATGGAAGATTATGATGTGCCCAATGCAAAGTTGTGATACCCCCTAATTTTGAAGCATGGGTTGATCAGGTCCGCGCACAAAATCAGGGACTATCAGCCAATCAATAATTAGCAAGCATATATTTACAAAAGGAATAATAACAAAATATATAAATAAATATAGCTGAAATGGAAATCTAAAATAATAATTAAATGATAAATCATCTGATATCATGGTCTCTAATAAATTTTCATCATAAGTATAAAACCTCTAGAATTCAACTTGGGAATCCATACAATGTGGACCCCTAATAAAAATCCCAAACCGATAAAAGTATAATAAATGTCTAACTCAGAAGTAATAAAAACATAGGGAAGAGTCCTACGTTAATGACACCGGAAGAATGAAGAAAACTGGTATATGCTCTGCATGAACTGACCTTATTGTCACGCCCCGCAACCAAGAAGCTACGCCACGCAGACGCCCAGCAGACGATGACATGGAGCCTGCTTGGACCGGAGCTTTCTAGACTTTTCTACACAAGTATGGAACTTTCCGGAATTCTCTAGATTAGTATGGAGTTGGCTAGCCTTTTCTAAACTTGTCTAGAGTTATATAGAATTCTCTAGAATTCTCTAGACTTGTCTTGTACATTATAAATAGTTCTAGAATTGTGTAAATATATCTTTAGAGGATTCTAGACACTTATTCTAGTCCACACATTTGTACACATCTAGAATGTTCTTGTAAGAAGGCCTATAAATAGGAGGTGGAAGTTCATTTGCTCTTCACCAAGCAACCTAAGTTGTAATCTCCTCTCAAGTAATACAAGTGTTTATACATTCCCAAACTCTCTTGCTCACTTGTCTAATCGCTTCTTACACACCCAAGTAAGCAAAGCACTTATCTAGCCTTAGTCTTTACTAAGCTAGCACACTCGGGTAGGCTGACTTAGCGCTTCAAGGAGGCTTGAAAGTGTCTAAGGCCGCACGTGAGCTTGGAAAGGTCTAAATCCGTGACAGTTGGTATCAGAGCTAAGGTCGGGAGGTGTCACACCTTGTGTGGAGGAAGCTATGGAGCTATCAGACGTGACTAACACCCAAGAGGAGGAGCTACGTGGAAGGGATGCAAATCTCCTTCTAGTCGAAGTGAGGACAAGGGCTAGGTCAAAGGACATCATGGCGGGCTTAGAGGCACGTGTGGCAAACATGGAGGGGTCTATAGCCAACGTGTTGGAGCAGCTTGAGGATTCCTAAGCTTAAGTGCTATGGTGGGAACCGGGTAGCGAGGGAGTTAGAGAACATCCTTTTCAGCATGGAGCAATACTTTGAGACTACGGGCATGACAGATGAGACCATCAAGATACGTACGACGACTCTCTACCTCACCGACCATGCCATGCTGTGGTGGAGGAAAAAGTATGGTGACATGGGCAAAGGTACGGTCTCTATTGATACTTGGACGGATTTCACAAGAGAAATGAAGAAGCATTTATATCCTGAGAATGCTAAGGATGAAGCCAAGGGTAGACTTCGAAGGCTAAAACAGGTTGGGTCGATTCGGG